TTCGGTGCACAAACTCCATGCTGCCAGAAGGAAGCACGAGGGCTGTGATATTGCCAGGTTACCCAAGTCTGGACAGGAGAAATCGAGAGGCAGAGTTCGGGTTCGAACCACGACCCCTCCGGTCAGTAAATTCGCGCTCTAAAGACTGAGACACCTCATCATCCGCTCGCAGTTACAACGCCGAGTTCTACCTTTCCTTAGTGAGGAGACTGCACCCTACAATGGTGATATTTTGCGTACCTCCTTGGCCCGTTGAGCTATATGGCGGTGCCCGTGTGACACTTGCACATGACTCCCCTTAGAAACGAATGGTCACTTTCCACCAGACACCGCTGTCTTACAGTCAGACTTTTGAGTCAAAGGTCTTTGGCTTGGCAGAAGGCCTGATAGACCTTCCTGTTCAGGTTTCGGCACCCTGGCATCACTTCAGCCAGTGCGTAACCATGATCCCTACGACCAAAATACTGTCACGCCACATCGACTGTCACGTGATGTCGTCAGCCGGATCGCCCTGCTTGTTGCGCGGGTAAAAGGAAACAGACTATTAATGAAGACTCCTTTCCTTTTCACCAAGATCCCTTCGCTCTTTAATGTCACTTATACTACTCTCCTCGTGAGCCAATCCGGTATGATTGAAGACCCTTTCCCTCTCGCATCGTTCTTCACCCACAACTTCTGCGGGTTCGTCGATAACAACCGTTTTCGGCACCATGAAATCAGTCTCCAAGTCTCGACTCACAGTCTATTATATGTGAGCCGCACCTAAAGCAAACAAGAAAACAAGCTGCTAGCGAATGTACACTCATTCGCAGACTAATTTGGTTTTCCGAGAACTGATCTGATCTCTCGTTTGTGATGTTTCCAGGCAACTGAATGGGCTGCACCAGGCCACTTCATGTTTCAGTCGTTACGCTAGTCAAGATATCGCGATATATATATATATATATACTACTCATAAGCTTGCCTCAAATTGCTCACGGTACTATCAGTCACCGATGTCGTGGATAGGAGACTAACCTTTGCTACTTTTGGAACACATGTGTGACGATGGATACTATTGATGTACCTTTGAGTAGTCTAGGGTTAGTGGTGAACAAATGACCTAGCAGCGACCGGCTTTCCTCCTTACACTGGTAGTGCACTTCTCTACATTTCAGGATTCCGCAACAAGTGGCCCACTTGCTTAGCAACGGAAGGACTGGCATTTCCCGAAACCACTTTAAGTTATTAGCATACTCTCCGGGATTCTTGTCCCGTGTCTATCCCGACAGATGTCAGCCTTCAATGAAAGCAGATCGCCAAATCCGTGCACAATACTAGGAGTAGCACTTGCAGCACAGAAAAATGGCACCGCCTGAACTCCGGAGAAGTGCTTCCTCCGGTATCGAACATAATTCGACTCGACGAATTATCAAACATCGAGCGGGACTCGGTGTGTGGGATGACTGTTGAACATAGAAGGAAATAAAAAATGCACAGCAAACCAGGATTACCTAGAGATTATTTAGGCTGGTCCATGCAGATGGTGAACGAAACCAGCAATGATTAGACGGGCGCGGCCACCGTAAACATTTAAGGACGGCTCGATCGTCGGACCGAGCACTTTGAACAACAACTCCCGTGGTTACTTGCTGCCACTCAGTTGGATTGTGTGCGAGAACCGGAAGTGAAATGAACCTGGAAACCCGTACAACCTGCATACTGTTCTTCAAAACAACATCGAGCCTTACGTTCTGATAACCTCCCATCATGTTCGAGTTTGCATACTATCACACCTTCCCTTTGCTACATAAACAGAACGATACTCACTTGTTTCAGCCTCCTGCGGTAACCGAGTCAGTCACCTTTTGGCCGTCCCCTAAAATCTTTCCAAGAAGGGCGCAATGAGCTACTCGAAATATTTTCCAATAGCAACTGGCGGTTGCAGAGTTTTACCGCAGATCTCTCATCCATCAAATTATATTGTCAAACAAAGCCCAAAAATTTTTTTCTCATTTAGTACCTATCAAGCCTACTATATACATTTCGATAGTACATGTGTAACATGTGTGATACTACTGATGGGAGTGGCATGCGAGTAGTATGTTTTTCGTAAATCCGTTTTTCGTCTCTTGAAGTGAGATCTATTGCGGAATTTGTAGAGTTGCTTTGTAGTATTTGCTTGGATTTGAGCAACAGTCAATGAATAGCCAGAAAAGTTTAGGAAGACGCGTCCAAGAGAAGATGGATGTTCAGTTTTTGTAAATAAGATGCAAATGAGAGTTTTGCTTCCCTGTCCAATAGTCTGTAACTGGTCAGTTGGCATTTTCTAATAAATAACTCCGCAGCCAAGGCCTTCTTCCTTTCACATGTGGCGAATGCTTAATTTGGCTGGAGTAAGGTCCACGTCGGTTCTCATTACCACAATGAAAACAATGTTTACCTCTAAGAATGATTTGATGCATTCAGTCAGTCACTCTTCAAACACGGAGATTTTTCTGGGTACTACTTTCTATAATTTCACCAAAGAATAATTGAAGAAATCTTCTACCGGTCGATTTTTTCTCGTAATGAGATACATTACAGAAGCGCCATTACAGAAGTGCATCCATCGTAGACAGAAGTATACAGAAATCGACGCATAAACGCAGTCGGGTTAGAAAAACTCCCTGGAAAAGTGCATAGACGCATCAAATGCCTTATCATGGGGATCAAGTCTATGCTAGTAAATTGGCTCAACACACATGGCCTCCTTTGACGCCTCCACCCTCATCCGGGCAATCACTTTTCCACGACTGCGTGGGAAGTTTTTTCTTCCGCCCTCGCAAAAGTCTAGGCAGTAGTCTGTAGTTTAGTTCGATGATAATGGATATCCTTCCGTTGTGCGATATAATGGCTATTCGCGTTACAACGACACGACACACCCTGGAAGCAATTCAATTATCCTACCTGAAGAAGCAAACATATCCACAATTGAGCTGCCGGGTGTGTGGTTCGCCCATTAATAATTAACAACGCCTCGGGAAATATGCCGAAGAAGGTGGATCGTCTAAATGAATCTAGTGGACGTAAATCTGATTATGATCAGACGCTAGAGACAGGCATATCTTTGTTCGGATTCATATTTAATCTACGGCGACACGGAATCTGATGGAACGGGGATGAACCTGGTGCGTTTAGCTGTGGCTAAAGGTGATTAAGTAGTCGACAAAGGTGGCAAGTAGTACAACAAGACGGAAAAAGCGACATGTTGCTTCTGAGACGTAAATATTGCATTCTCTACCTACTTTGTTTTCACTCGGTACACAATACGCTTCTCTGTTGAATACAAGGAATGAAAGCAGGCAAATGAAAGCCGTATAATGTTTTTAATTTGGAGTATTTGGTAACCGAACAGATATGGTTTACCCGGGGACAAGGTATATTGTGGCCTTTATCCTCCATAGGTTGCATTAACTGTACGTGGAAGGATCAGTCACGTGACGCTCAGGTTTAAATTTTGCACACCTCACCACGTGATCTGCGTCGGTACAATAAATGACGAGACTGACACTGAAGTGTTTCACTCGAACTAAAAAGACAAAACCCACTAGAGGAAACTAATCACAAGGTTGCTGAAAACTCTTCTACAAAACTCCTCTACAAAACCCACAAACTATACAAGGTTTGTGAACTAGTAAGACAACCTGTGAGTTGAATGGCAAAAGTGGCCTCTACACCATGAAACCTAAAACGTGCAAGATGCTCGCAAATCCATCCGCTGTTTTTATCACACATTTCCACCTTCAGTTTAAGGTTTTCAAGGCTAAAGTGGGGCTAAACAACTCAGGCGTCTAATGGAATTCTACCGACTTCTAGGATTGATTTAGCAAGGCCCTAGAAACATCGTCAAGTATATTATGTCTGTCTAAACTCGTAGTATGATCTAATATATTAAAGGCTGAACGCCCCGCTTCGGTGAAAAGAATAAATCCTCTTTCATAAGACGTAGCCCATGAGGTTGACGAAAATTTGGCTTCCACTACCGCCTGTACTTTACACGTGGCTCACCAGGTGGGCCTAAACAGCGGATTCCTTCGTGGGTGCTCAACGTACGCGTGTGTAAATAAACACTCATTCCCAACTCAAGTCAATATCTGGATTCCCAACAGAAATTCGACCGAAACTTATGTTTCTTCCATTTCTTGACTGTGCATACTACACAAGGACTATTCTGTTCTCAGCTAAGACGATCTGCAGCATATAGTACTACCAGTTAGCTATCAGGCTAATGGAAATTAGGGAACTAGGTCTGTGTGAAGATCCAAAAGAATGATAAAGCCTGTAGTGAATTGACAATATGATTCGTGTCTTGCAAAGCAAAGTCTCCCAGTATTGTTAAAAACTTTTGGGTGATACAGGAAGTGCCCTGTGTAAGCCGCATTCACCAATGTGTGGTCGATGAAATAATGAGACGAACGCTGGAGGGTCTCCAAAACCCTGGTGTTCAAATAGCCTGTGAAGAAAGCCTTGTCGATCTGGAATATGCAGACGACATCGTTCTCATGTTCGAAGAGGCGGAGAAGGCGCAAGTATTCTTGGACGAACTGACCAAAGTCATCCCGTCCTTTGGTATGCACTTTGCACCCACAATGTGTAAGGTCATGCTTGTGGACGTGCAGTCACTGAACACGCCACTTACGATCCAGGGAGAGGCACTGGAAGTTGTGGAGCGTTTTACGTATCTTGGAAGTTGTATTAGTTCTGACTGTAGTGTGACAGATGAGGTGAATGCACGAATCTGCAAGGCTCGGGCCGTGTTTGCTAATGGTTTATCCCTGAATCTGAAATGACGTGTGTATCAAGCTACAGTACGGACTGTTTTGTTGTATGGATGTGAGAATTGACCTATTCGAGCAGCGGACCTGAGACGTCTTCAGGTGTTCGACAATCGTTGTCTCAGAACCATAGCTCGTGTGGGTTGGTGTCAGCGAATCCGTAACGAGGCAGTTAG